AATTTTGATGATCATAATCATAATGATATTCATGATGATCATAATGATCACAATGATATTCATGAACACGATCATAATGATCACGATGATCATAATAATAATGATGATAATACCATTTCAACATACCATTTGTTGGGGTGCTGATCTTCCTTTTTTTGCAATGGCGACTTCAATTGCCTTTCCATCCAATTCAAATCCATCCATTTTTTCCAGCGCTCTTTCTGCATCTGCTCGATGCCAAAACTCCACAAAGCCAAAACCTCGAGGCATCCGACTGTGATAATCAAGAGGCAGATACACGTCCTTTACAGACCCATGAACAGCAAATGCACTCCGAACCGCCTAAAGAAGCAGCAGCACAAGCAGCAGCAGCAGCAGCAAAAGGATATGCAACACTGGCAACAGTTGCACAGGCAGTACATGCACCACCAGATGCAACAGCAAATGCAAAGGCGCATGCACAAGCAGCAGCAGGTGCAGCAGCAGCAGCAGCAAAAGGCATGTTGTCGCAAATCCAGCGGCAAATATAGATACAGCAGAAGCAGCAGCAGACATGGGAGGCTCAAAAATGCTGCAACCGCCTGCATAAAACCCCCTTATAACGATGAGGGCTTATCATATCCGCTCGTATAAAGCGAGGGGCTTGAGAGGATATAAATGGAGCAGAAGAAGAAGCCTCTCAATCAGAAGAGACAGAAGACGAAAAGAGCCAGGAACGCATGGCGAGAGAAAACAAGACAAATACAGTCAAGCCAAAAGAACACATCAGCACATGCAACAAGCAGCAGCAAACAAGAAATGCAGCAGCAGACAAACGCCTCTGTCTTCCCGCTGTTCACACCATTGTCTCCATACGAACGCATACACCGGCAAGGAGACAGAATGTAGCGGCAATGCTCCAGTGTACGCGCGAAGAAGAGAAAGAGACAGCTAAAGATTGACGTAAGAGAAAGAAACAGAGAGAGACAATAAGAAGCAAACGCCTCATCTGTGGGATAATCAGAAAGAGAAGGGAGGGGGAGAGGCAGAGAGAGAGATATATATATAGCGAAAGAAATACTGAGAGAGATACAGAGACAGAAACAAAGAGAGACGCAAAAAGAAACGAAGTGAAAGAAGCAAAGAGAGACGGAGAAGAAGAAACAAAGAGACAGACAGACAGAAGCATACATAAGCCTCACCTCTGGGCTCGTTTGATAGCTTAGGTTTCTAACAAGCAGCGACATGCGCTGCTGGCCGTCTGATTCACTCATTGTAAAACAGCAGCAAGAGAGGAGACAACGGCTTCCCGCCGAGCATGCGGCTGTTTAGGCAACCCGTGCTGCTACTGCTGCTGCTGCTGCTGCTGCTGCTGCTGTTGCTGCTGCTGTTGCTGTTGCTGCTGCTGCGGATGCGCCACAAAAACAGCAGCAGCAATGTTTGCTTCGGATACAAAACGACGGCACCCGCCTAAGCACCCCCTCAGATGAAGAGCAGAATAAACATGGGCCCTCCCCCGCGCAGCTGGTGATAGGTGCTGCTGCTGCTGCTGCTGCTGCAGTGCTCCCCGGTGTATACAATGAGTAGAAAAAGGCAAAACAAACTACAAAATAAGGAAGCGCAGCAGCAACGACGCCCTTGCAAGCGGCAAGAAGACCCGCCTCTCCGTACGTAGGGGCAGGCAAGGGGGGGGTTGCCCCTTCGCTACACAGACAGCTGCTGTAGCAGAGATTCTCTAAACGTGCATTTACGCTTTCTCCTAAAGAAAAGAAAAGCAAAAAGTGCTGCAGGTGAAGATTGCAAACAGAGAAACCCCCTACTCTAGCCGCAGCAGCCCCCTCCCCTCTCCCGCCTGGGGCAGCTGCATGCGCTGCTGCAGTGCTTCATCTGCAGCTGTATGTACACCGGGGAACGGGCCTCTGTTCAGCTCTCATTTCTGCTTAAAATCCCTCTAAAACAGCACTTTGTCACTGTGCTGAGGCCCCCACCATATCCTTCTAAGGGAATATACAGCAGCAGCAGCAGCGGGGTAGCTGTCCCCAGGTTCGGAGTATTGTATATTTCTGTTATGTTGCGAACGTCATGCACGCTGTTTGCTAAGGGGGGAGTAAGTATTTGGGTTTTCTCTACAGCACTTGGGTATACAGCAAGAGGGGCATTACTGCAATTGCATGGAGAGTACATACAGCACCCGCTGCAGCGATATGCGCTGCTACTCATCTCAGGCCTCCTCCTCTCCCTCAGGGCATTGCCTTTGAGCACCTGCGCGCAGAAAGCCTGAGGACAGGAGCGGAGGGGGGATGAGTTACCTTTAGATGTTCTTGCTTTAAGCGTTCTGGTTTGATTGCAACATACAACTGTCCTACGATAAGATGGTTGCAGGAGGAGCGTTAAGGATGTAGCAAATTATCGCAGAAAGCTGGCTTCCGCCTTAGAAGGATACAACCTGGAGCCGCAACAAAGTAAACAAACAAGAGAAGAGTTCCGACAGTTGTTGGCATGCCCACCTGTCTACAGGTCGCGTGGGCACCGCGGTATGTACGAATACCTCGGGCTGCTGAGGAGAGTAGGCTGCCTGTCACGACTCGCAACATGCTCTGCTGCGCATTTTTCTGCGAGACAACTCCACAGGAGCCCTGCCCAAGCACCCTTTCAGTGCGTGCGCTAACGCTGTATATAATTAGCCCTCGGAAAGGAGAGTCCTTGACCTTAGCAGAGGACCCAACATTATGCGGAGATTCAAGCCTAGTCAGAAATCTGTAGTGAAGTGCTAGCGAGCAGCGACACCGATGTAAGCGTGAAGTACGGTTTCTCCCAGAGTTAATCCGGGAACCAGCCCTGAAATATTTTTTAAAAATATATGAAACTGCTGTGGGCGGCAGCGCCGACCTTGCTATAGATGGAAGGAGGGGAGTAGATCGCCGGAAGAAAGAAACTAGCCGAGGAGAGCATGCGTATGTGAGTTCCTTTGCATGCATCTTTGTCAGTGGTAATACAAATGTGAGCAGAAGGCTCTTCGCCGCACAGCTTTACTCTTCATTGTGCACGCCGTTAATCGCCCCTACTGAGCTGGGGAAGGCGAGAAGATGCTCCAGAACAATTGCATCGCGCAAGCGATCCTCATTAACCCACGCGGGTTGTCGATATCCTAGCCGTGAAACCCTTTCTTTTCGTTTTGCTTGACCTCGTGATGCTAAATGTTTAGCCAAGATCTCATTCTCCTCCATTTGCTTGGTTCCGTAGCAACGTTGCTTCCGTTTGGTGAGAAGCGATCGAAGCAACTTCGATGAATAATCCCTTGACAGATTTAGAAAGCCGGAAGTAATGGAATGGTGACATCTCCAAGTGAACAATGCGAGAAAGCGCGAGTAAAGGACAGCGCCCACATAAGGGCCCAACCCAATGCATGCAGAACTTCTGCGGCTTGCCGCCCTCCTGTGAACGTTAGAGGGCCTGCAAATCCATTTAGTTTTAATCGAAGCTAAGAGGTCTAAACGTTCGGTGGTTTCGAAACATCGTTGGTTTGGGCTTATTGCCTGGCGTTTCTGCGCTTTGTTCAAACACTCACGAGCCAGCGCAAGCAGTGTATGGAAGTTTACAGCTGCGTGTATAAGAAGCAGGCTGCTAACAACCAGCTCCAACATTGGGCTCCTCAACTGTGTTTAAGCGTATAGCAGGGAATCTGGAGTTTAGCTGGAACTGTCTACGATATTAACCAGATGCAGCTGTGGATAGGCAACTCAACTGAAATTAGAAGCAGAAGCAGTAGATGCCTCTACCCCTTCGTTAACCACCACATACCCGCCCGCAGCTCCACCCCTGGTCATCCTATCTTCACAGCAAATCACAGGAGGTCCTGCTCTCTTTGGGTCAGAGGGAGGAGCGATGCAGCAGAACCACTCCTCCCTCTGCCCCACAGATAGCAGGACCTCCTGTTCATACACTGGCATGAAGGTTAGCTACTGAGTACATGCACAAGAACAAATTGCCTGCAGCATCCGTGCATCCATAGGAGCGGGGCGTTGCCACCCTCTGCTTGCAGTTGCTGTGCAGCAAAAGCTGCTGCAACACGTAACAAGTCCCTGACTCTTCGCAGCAGCCTCATACCTCAGTGCCTCTGTGCCTAGGTTGCTTGGAGGCAACACAAAAAGGTGTGGCTCTAGCAGGTCTTAGCAGCTTTCATTTCATTTCTTCTGCAGCACACGCCGGCCCTCTGTCTGCTCTACAACCGGAAACTGTCACTGCAGCGGCGCTGCAGCTGCTGGAAGCTGCTGTAAGCCTTTTAAGCCTTTCTATCCCTGCTGCTGTTCCTGCTGCTGCTCTTGCTGCTGCTGCTGCGGTGACCCCCTCGTCTACTACCGCCACCGCCCCGCACACACTTGGCTTTAGACACCCAAACACTGCACAGTATATCTGCAACACCGCATAAGTTTCGGAAATATATTCTCTTGTACTCGAATTCAACAGCGCCGCAGCGTTTTCTCAGGCAGCAGCAAAAGCAGCAAAAGCAGACAGCAGCGGTATCAGCGGCAGCAGCAGCAGCAGCAACTGCAGCAGCAGCTGCAGCAGCTGCAGCAGCAGCAAGCAGCATCGGAAGCCGCTGCAGCAGCAGCGGCGGCTGCTGCACAGCAGTGTTAGCTGACGGCACCTAACATTAGTTCTTTAAAATATTTTGTAACAGAAGGCGTCTGTAGCTTTCTTTCTGAGGCTATTTACCTTCATCTTTTGTGTTTATTAGCAGCGGCAGCAGCAGCCGCAGCAACAGCAGCATCAACCGTACAGCAGCAACAGCTGCTGCACGACCGGGGCCCTGCTCTGTCGCACCCGTTGGGGGAGCATGTACCACTTCCTGCCACCACTGAGGGCTTTATAGGGGAGAAGTAGTTTTGTTTTTTTGCTTACGAGTATTCGTAAGGGGGCAGTAGCAGCAGCCGCAGCAGCAGCAGCAGCAGCAGCAGCAGCAGCAGCGGCAGCCGCCGCCGCCGCAGCAGCAGCACCACAAGCACGCACTGAACTTCAACATGAAGGAGCGAGCTGAGGCATCTCAAGAGACAACGGCAGCATCAAGTGGGCCCTCGGGGCCCTCCTCCGTGGCTCTGCCTCGTGTACAGCACTCTGAGGGGGGCAGCAGCAGCAGCAACGGCAGCAGCAGCACCACCACCACCAACGGTAGCAGCGGCAGCAGCAGCAGCAACAGCAACGGCAGCAGCAGCAGCAGCAGCAACGGCAGCAGCAGCAGCAGCGGCCACGGTAGCAGCAGCAGTAGCAACAGCAACGTCAGCAGCAGCAGCAGCAGCCACGGTAGCAGCAGCAGCACCACCACCAGAAGCGGCAACAGCAGCAGCAGCAACAGCAGCAGCAGCAACAGCCGGCGGCAAGAGTATCTGGAGAGCTGCGCCTCGCCTTTTCTGTCTGAGTATAGAGCGGCCGCATTTGCTGCTCTGAGTGGTCTCCTCAACTCCGCCTTGGCAGCAGGGGGAGCAGCAGCAGCAACAGCAGCAGCAGTGCCTCAGCGGCTGGCGTCTCTTGCTGCTTCAGCCGGTTTGCCTGCTGCTTCTGAGCCTGAGGAGCGAGCAGTGCAGCAGCAGCAGCAGGAGCAGCAAGAGCAGCAGCAGCACTTCGGCCTCTCCGGGTCTCTTCCGTGGCGCTGTCCCTTCCACCACCCAGAAAGCCAGCAGCGGAGTACAGCAGCAGCAGCAGCAGCAGCAGCAGGTGTAGGGCCTGTTAGAGGGCGACATCTGCAGCGGGGCCTAGGTCCCGGAAGCAGCAGCAGGAATCGCAGCAGCAGCCGCAGCAGCAGCCGCAAGGGGCCCCACCGCCGTCATCGCAGTTTAGGGTGGCGCGCATACAACAAGCGTCCCTACAGCAGACCTCGGCAGCAGCAGCAGCAGCAGCAACAGCAGCAGCAGCAGGGAGGTCTGTGGTTTGGAGAAATCTCCTTCAACTTTGGCTGTCCCCTTTGTCTTGCTATATCATTATCTGCTGCAGCACGCGGGCGGGCAGTGCATGCAGTAGACACCTGCCTCAGCTCCGTACAGCAGCAGCAGAAGCAGCAGCAGCAGCAGCAACAGAAGCAGCAGCAGCAGCAGCCTCCAGAGAGTGAGGACTCCGATTGCTTTCCTTCTTCCCCAGAAGGGACACCCCGCCACCCCTACTGCGGCCCTGGTTCTATCAGCTCGGGGCTGCAGCAGGAGCAGCAGCACCTGTCTCCGCAGCAGCAGCAGGAGCAGCAGCAGCAGCAGCAGCTTCTAGAGGGCCGCCTGTTCTGTACAGACAGCAGGGAAGTGCAGCAGCAACAGCGGCGCCACAGAGCCCTCGATGTTATTATTTCTGCTTTGCTGCCGCGGTCTATAGCGAGCAGCAGCAGAGGCTCCCCCACTTCTGCAGGGGTTTCAGCTGCAGCAGCAACAGCAGCAACAGCAGCAGCAGCAGCAGGCGAGGGGACCCCCAACAGCCGAAGAGGTCAGTTCGTGTCTTCGCTTCCTTCGCGTGCTCTGGCCTTGGCGGGTGCAGCAGCCGCAGCAGCTTCGGCGGCAGCAGCAGCAGCAGCCGCAGCGCCAGCAACGTTGCGTCGGCGCCACAGCAGCAGCAGCAGCAGCAGCAGCAGCAACAACAGCTGCTTAGTGGAGACCAGCACGGCCCCACACTACGCGGAGTACTTAGCTTTTCATGTTGAGAAGTGGAGGGAAGGATCCTTTGATGAACTCGAGATAGAAGCTGATAGGTTGTTAGTAGATCCTCTGCAGGCTCGCTGCACAATTATGTAGCTGCTGCTCCTGCTGCTGCTGCTGCTGCTGCTGCTCCTGCTGCTCCTGCTGCTGGTAGTGGTTCTGAGGCAACTGTACGACCGCCAAGACAGGCAACTGCAGCAGCAGGATCTGCAGCGCAAAACCCAACCTGCTGCAGCAGCAACAGCAGCAGCAACAGCAGCAACAACAGCAGCAGCAGCAGCAGCATAATGGGGAGGACGTCTCGGTGGAAAGTTCGTAGGGGCCGGCGACAGCCACGCGGCCCCTCTCTAACTGCTGCTGCTGTCTTGCAGCGCATCGATGCGCAGCAGCAAAAGAAATATAACAGACCCCCCACCAGCAAACAAATCCGGAAAGATGCTGACCCGCTGCAGCAGCAGCAGCAGCAGCAGCAGCAGCAGACGCAGCAGCCGCAGAAGCAAAAGGAGAAAGCCGTCAAGCGGAAGCAGCAGCAGCAGCAAGAACAGCAGCAGCAGCAAACGCCGCAAAAGCTGTCCAGAAATATTCGCAGGAAGCTCCGTCTGTTGCAGCAGAAGAAAGATATGCAGCAGCAACAGCAGCAGCAGCAACAGCAGAATGCAGATGGAGCCGAGAGCAGCGGCAGCACAGCAGAGTCTCCTTCAGCTCCCTCTGCAGCAATGTAGGCTTCAGATATACACCTCAATTAGTATGTTGTTTATATTTTTATTATTTTGTTGTTTATTTTTTACTTTGTATGCGCAGTTACAAATAAGAAGGAGGGCTTGTGGTTCTTATGCTGCTGCTGCTGCTGCTGCTGCTGCTGCTGTGATTCAGGAAGAAGCGAAAGCAAAAGCAGCAGGCCGCTGCAACGGAAGCAGGAGCCACGGAGGCAGCAGCAAAAACTGCAGCAGCAGCTAAAGCTGCAGCAGCAGCCAAGCCTCCAGCAGCTGAAGCTGGAGAAGGAAAGACAGTTGCAGCAAAGGCAGCTGCAACAGCAAGTGCAGCAAGATCAGCGGCAGCAGGAGGATCAGCAGCATCAGCAGCAGCAGCAACAAGGAATGAAAAGCAGCGACACATAATGCTGTGGGGTGATGTGGTGGATGGGCCCCCTGACTTGCGGGCCTTCAAACAAAAATTAGAAGCTCTGAAGGCTAAGTCTTCGCGGTGAGTTTGCTGCTGCTGCTGTTGTTGCTGCTGTTGCTGCTGCTCCCTCTGCTGCTGTTGTTCATGCTGCTTGTGCTGCTGCTGCTGCAGTTTTTGGTTTTGTTGCTGCTACTGCAGCAGTAGCAGCAGCAGACGGGAATTGCGAAGCAGCAGCAGGGTGGGGCTTTTATTTTGCTGCTGTTGTCTGTAGGGCTGGAGAGGATAGGGGAGTAGCAGCAATAGCAGCAGAAGCAGCAGCAGGAGTTGATGCAGCAGAGGAGGCAGAAGGCTCTCCGATAGTAAAAGGAAAAGCTGCTGCTGCTGCTGCTGCTGTAACTACTACTTCGTATCAGCAGCAGGTGATTGAGGCGTACAGACAGGTGAAGAAGCGGCGGAAGGAGGCGGAGCAGCAGCAACAGCAGCAGCAGCAGCTGCGGAAGCAGCAGCAGCAGCAGAGACGGGAGGGGTACCGCAAGGGTGGCCGTGAAGGGAAGACAGATGCTAGCAGCAGCAGCAGCAGCAGCAAGTCGTGGTCTTTCGACAAGTCTATACTGTATAGAAGCGATTGGGTGTTCAAGCACAGCCTAAATCATTGAGGCTAACTGCTGCTGCAGTGCAGCAGCAGGTGCAGCTGCTGGAGTCGGTGGTGGTGCTGCTGCTCCTCGGCTTGCTGCTGCAGCAGCCCGTGGCAGTGTACTGCCATTCAGCGTGTCTGCACAGAATTTTAAGCGGCTCTTTGCAGCAGCAACAGCAGCAGAAACAGCAGCAACAGCAAGAATTTGTCTGCTCATCGCATGCAGCGAGTAGCTGCAGCAGCAGCAACAGCAACAACAGCAGCCTTTCCGCTGCTGGGAGCATAATGAGCCCCCAGCAAAACGAAGATGTAAGCAGAAAACTTTTACTGTTCAAACAAACTTGAAGGCCTTGCTGTTGCTGTTGCTGTTGCTGCTGCTGTTGTTCCTGCTGCTGGTGCTAGGCTTGCTGCTGCGTTTGCTGTTAGAACTGCTGATGCGTCTACTGTTGGTGGTGCTGCTGAGTTTGCTGTTGTTGCTAAGTTTGCTGCTGCTGCTGGCTGTACTGCCACTACTAAGCCCCAGCAAATGCTGACAGCAGCAGAAACAGCAGCAGCAGAAGCAGCAGCAGCAGAAACAGCAGCAGCAGCAGCAGGAGCAGCAGCAGCCTTTGGGGCTCGCGCTGAAGGTTCTAAGTGCATACGCTGTAGTGAGAAGAAGACACAACAGCAAGAGCACCAGCAGCTGCTGCTGCTGCAGCACAGCAGCAACAGCAGCAGCTTGAGCTCTTGCTGATCTGCAACCTCCAGCAGCAACCTGGGGTTGCGGAGCAGCAAGAGCTAAAGCGAGGAATTGAAGCCAAAAGCCACAAACCCTAAACCCTCTATCCACGCCCCTCACATAGCAAACCCTAAACCCTGGACCTTAAACCCTAAACCCTAGACTTTAAATCCTAAACCCTAGACCTTAAACCCTAAACCCAAGGCCTTAAAGCCTAGACCTTCAACTCTAATCCCTTGATCTTAAACCCTAGACCTTCAACTCTAATCCCTTGACCTTAAACCCTAGGTCTTAAACCCTAAACCCTAGAGCTTCGTGCAGTCTGGGCCTTTGGGGGCGGGAGCAGCAGCAGCTGCTGCAGCCTTGCGTTAGTATGCAGCTGCGTTGCGAGTATATATTAGTAGAAACTTCTTTAAATAGATTAAATAAATAATTTTTAGAGATTAATTAAACAAAAAAATCAAAGAGACAAAGTAAAAGAAAGAAGAATAACAGCCAGCAGCAACATCAGAGCCACCGGTCTCATCATAATAGAAAGGGGCCCCTGCAGCAACTGCTACTGCTGCTGCTGCTGCTGCTGTTTTTTCTTCTTGTGTTTAAATTAAATACATAAATACAATTAATTCTTTTAGGAAGAGATACTGAAATGCAAGAGAAACGCAGTGCAGCGGACGCGCCAACGACAGGGCCCAGCCAATAGCAGCAACTCCTGCTGTTGCTGCTGCTGCTGCTGCTGCAGTTGCTGCTGCTGCTTCACTTGGCTCTACTGCTGCTGATCTTGCATGCAAAGGCCGTCTTCCTTGCTTCTGTGAAACTCATATTCTCTTGCTAGGGAGAGGAGAACCCCACGCAACACCAGCAGTAGCTGCTGCTGCGCCAGCTGCAACAGCAGCAGCAGCAGCAGCAGCAACAACAACAACAGCAGCAGCCACACACATAGGCTTGTTGAGTCACCTTCTTCTTCAGCAGCGTCAGAGTTTACACACAAGCAGCGGCAGCAGCAGCAGCAGGAGCAGCCGCTGCTGCAGCCATGTCCAACCCTAAGCAGGGGGCCCCCTCTACGGGGGCCCCTACTGAGTCGGCTTCTTTGAAAGATGCTGCAGAAGCAGCTAACTCGGATGAATCTTCTCGTAGAAGAGAGGAGGCCACTGATCCTGCTGCTGCAGCAGCAGAGCAGCGGGAGCAGCAGCAGAACCCGCAGCAACAGCAAGAGCAGCAGCAGCAGCATCTGGGGAGAGAGCCGCAGCAGGAGGGTCCATCGACCGAATCTCAAGCCCAGCAACAGCAGCAAGAACAGCAGCAGCAGCAGCAGCAACAGCAGCAGCAGGAGCAGCAACGGCAACAGCAGCAGGAGCAGCAACAGGAGCAAGAACAGCAGCAACAACAGCAGCAGCAGCAGCAGCAGCAGCAGCGACAAACGGAGAGAACCGGAAGGCGAGACAGCGGTATCAGGAAGCTTTCGTCGACAAGTTTGTCTGACAGCAGTGTCGGGCTTGCGCAGCAAATGAAGGCTCTAGGAGCACTAGCAGAGTCCAGCAGCAGCCGCAGCAGCATGGGCAGCGCTGCTCCTGTCGGTGTTGCTGTTGCTGGCTCAGGCCGTCTCCGCGTAATGCGGAGGGAAGATTCTGTCTCTTTAAAAGCAGCAGCAGCAGCAGCAGCAGCAGCAGCTGGCGGTACATCAGAGGGGGAAGGACAGCAGCAGCAGCAGCAGCATGTGATGAATGCATCCGATCGCGGCTCTAGTGGCGAGTTGGGGCCGAGTGCTGCTGGCAGCAGCAGCAGCAGCAGCTCTTGTAGCAGCGCAGGATTGTCTCCTCGCTTGGGGGCTTCGCTGCTGCTGCGGCCTTTTGCTTCTTCTGCCTCTGTTGCAGATGTTGCTGTAGCTAGAGGTCAAGAAGAACTCGCAGAAATCTTCTGGAAACCAGACGCAGCAAATCTTCAAAGCCGTAGGGTTTAGGGTTTAGGGTTAGGGTTTAGGGTTTAGGGTTTAGGGTTAGGGTTTAGGGTTTGATGGCTGAGGATTTATGGTTTTTAGCTGGGGATTGGAGGGTTTAGGGTTTAGGGTTTACGATTTAGGGTATAGAGTTTGAGGATTTAGGCTTTGAGGGTTTAGGGCTTAGGGTTTAGGGTTTGAGGGTTTAGGGTTTAGGGTTTAGGGTTTGCGGTGCAGACTTGGGCGGCAGTTGGAGGCCTCGGCTGCTTGTCGGAGACAGTCGCGAGAACGTGAGACAGAAAAATAAATAAATAAATATAAAAAATAAATATAATTAAATAAATATAATTTAATAGATATAAATAAATAAATATAAATAAGCATACATAAACAAGCAATAAACGCAATAAAAGATAAACAATTAGGTAGTTCGTGAGACTAAGGATAGAAATGTAAATAGATAAATAAATAAAAACAAACAAAAATAAAACAAACGGAGACAAACAAAGACAGAGACAAACAAAGACAAAGACAAAAGCGTTTAAAGACTGCTAGCTAATAACGACCATCTCTCAACGTGCTGTTGCTGCTGTTGCTGCTGCTGCTGTTGCTGCTGCTGCTGTTTCTGCTGCTGCTGTTGCTGCTGCTGCTGTTGCTGCTGCGCAGATGCCTGAAGCCCTTGCACATGACATTGAAGAGGCGAGTGGGGCGCAGCACTCCTCGGGTGAGTTTCCAGCCTTCTTTCTCTCTCCCCAAGGCCAAGGGTTTAGGGTTTAGGGTTTAGGGTTTAGGGTTTGGGGGGTGTTTGAGCTTCTCTTTAGGGCTGGGGAGCGACAGGGATGGGCCTGGAAAGACGGCACGGCGAGGCAGCGGAGCAGCTGATTGCCAGGTAGCTAGCTGTGTAGCTAGCTGTGTAGCTAGCTGTGTAGCTAGCTGTGTAGCTAGATATGTAGCTAGCTAGCTATGTAGGCAGCTAGATCTATTGCCGTGCGTCTGTCTTCTACGAGGGGAGGGTCCTGCTATCTCGCTAGCTAGCTATCTATGCAGCTAGCTAACTAGCTGGATAGGTAGCTAGCTAACTAGCCAGAGCTTGTATAGCTAGAGCGGGATGTAGCTAGCCAGGCCTCTCTTCAGGTAGCCGCGTGTGTCCTCAGTTACCCTGCTGAAGCATTCGTTTTGCTCTTTCCCTACCTGGCTAGCTAGCTACCTGGCTAGTTAGCTAGCTAGCTAGCTAGCTGTTTCTACGTTTGAGGTTTGCGATGCAGGCGCTGAAGGAAGGCCTTGCGGGGATGAGTCGAACATTTCTGGCGGATGTTCATGGAGAGCTGCAGCAAGAAGTTAGCAGGAGGCAGCAGCAGCGGCAGCAGCAGAAGCAGCAGCAGCAGCAGCAGCAACAGCAACAGCAGCAATGGAGAGAGGAGCCGGAGGTGTATGTAGTCGAAGGACTCCCTTCAGTGCCTCCGCCCGCACCAAGTGCAGACGAAACAACAACCTGTAAGTGCTGCTCTTCTTATTGCTGCTGCTGCTGCTGCTGTGCTGCAGCTTGAGCCGCCTTGGCTTCTGCAGACTCATTTAGCGTTCGTTCGTCTCTGCTACTGCTGCTATTGCTACTGCTGCTGTTGCTGGTGCTGCTGCTACTGCTGCTACTGCTGCTGCTGCTGCTGCTGCAGCTGCAGCAGAATGCGATGGTGGTTCTGGGTTATCGGAGTTATCTTTTGAGGGTATAGACCTCGACTTGGCCTTCGAACGATTTGCAGGGGCGGACTTCTCACGTAAGGCTCTTGCTGCTGCTGCTGCTGCTGTTGCTGCTGTTGCTGTTGCTGCTGCTGTTGCTACTGCTGCTGCTGTTGCTGCTGTTGCTGTTGCTGTTGCTCCTGGTGCTACTGCTGCTGCTGCTGCTGCTGCTGGTTGTTTCTGCTGCCTGCTGCAGCCCTTACTTCGCTGCTGCAGCAGTAGCATGTGAACCTGTGGGGCAATGCAAGCAAGTTGGTAGCTAGCTAGCTAGCTAGCTAGCTAGCTAGATAGCTATCTATCTAGATATAGCTAGGTAGCGCTCTGGCTAGCTATCTGGCTAGTTGGCTGTGCATGCTGCTGAGGACGCTGGTTGTTGCTGCTGTTGCGGTGTGGGGCGTTTGCTGCTGCTGCGCTGCAGCAACCGAGACACCCGACTCAGATATGTTGCAGCTGTACGCTGCAAACAAGATAGAGAGGAGGCGCAGCAGAAGCCTTCGAGAGAGAAAGGAGTCGCCTTTAAGCAGATTCAGCAGACTTCAAAAAGAAATACCCCAAGCTGTTCAACTCGTTGTGAGGCACCTGCTGCTGCTGCTGCTGCTGCTGCGGATGCTGCTGCGGATGCTGCTGCGCATGCTGCTGATGGCGGTCGTGCTGCTGCTGATTGTGCTGCTGCTGCTGCTGACGATAATGCTGCTGCTCATGATGCTGATGTTGCTTCTTTTGGCTCCGATGCTGCTGCTCGTCTTGCTGCTGCTGCTGCTCTTCTTCTCGCTGTTGCTTATGTTGCTCTTCCTGCTGCTGATGCCGATGCTGGTGCTGGTGGTGCTGCTGCTGCTGCAGGAGAGTCTCTGCGAGCATGTGGAGGAGACGCGGAAGCAGCAGCAGCAAGAGGATCGCTCGTGTGGCGCTGCATATATTTTGTCTTTGAATACGGCTCTTGCTGGTGAGGGGATTGCTTTCTTTATTTTGTTTGTTTATTTATTTGTTTGTTTATTTGTTTGTTTATTTGTTTGTTTGTTTGTTTGTTTATTTGTTTGTTTATTTGTTTGTTTATTTGTCTGTTTGTTTGTCTGGGGCTTACTTGCATGCGAGTTATTCTGCGTCTCACTGGTTTAAGCCTGCTGCTGCAGCAGTGTCTGTGCACAGCAGAGGCAGCAGTAGCAGCAGCAGCAGCGTGTGCTGCAGCAGCAATAGCAGCAGCCGGGAGTCATACTGCTTCATGTGGCTCGTTGTTTTTTGTTTGTTTTTTCTTTATGTATGCACCTCCTCTCTATCAGCGGCAACGCAGCAGGCAGAAGCTGCTGTGCTAGAGGGAGTAGCAGCAGATGCTGCGCTGCAGCGGGTGCTCTTCAAGCAGCAGCCGCAGCAGCAGACTGAGGAGGCCTCATACCTTGAAGCCAGCGACACAGGGGGCCTTCTCGCCCCGCTCTACTGCCCCAGCACTTGTATAGAGATGGATGCGTTGGTGCGGAGCGCTCAGGTAAGCTGCAGCAGCACTGCTGCTGCTGCTACAACAAGGCTGTTGCTGCTGCGGCAGCAGCATTCTGCCACGCTGCTGCAGCAGCACCAAGGCAGAAGCAACTTTGCTGCTTTGTTTCTAGCCCCACAGTGCCTCTATTCACCCAGCTTACCGCTGTTAAGCTGCTCTCAGCTGCTGCTGCTGAATCCCTGGCGCATGCATACACCCCAAGTGCTTCAATGTGCGCGCAGGAACAGCTGCAGCACCAGAAGCAGCAGCACTACCAGCAACAGCAGCAGCAGCAAGCCGTCAGCAGCAACGGTAGCGCGCTTGAGGTGCTGGTACGTTAGAGGCATCACTTCGAGAGCTTAAGTCAGGATGTGTGCTTAGAGTTTAGGGTTTAGGGTTTAGGGTTTAGGGTTTAGGTTCTTGACCCGTGCTGCAGGATGCTACACACTTAGCGATGGCCTCGCAAGCTGCTGCAGCCAGACGGCTGCTGCAGCTGGAAGACCGACTCCAGCGTAGGCCCGAGCTACCTGCTGCTGCTACTGCTGCTGCTTGCTGCTACTGCTGCTGTTTGCTGCTGCTGCTGCTGCTTGCCGCTGCTGCTGCTGCTTGCTGTCGCTTCTCTTTGTTGTTGCTGCTGCTGCTGCTGAGGTAGCGGAGAGCAAAGGACATCTTCGTAGCTGCAGCGCAAGCAGCAGCACCCGCAACCCCTGCAGCCTCAAGAGCAGCAGCAGCAGCTGTTGCTGCAGAAGCAGCAGCAAAGGGCGCCACTGTCTCTTCATCTCCTTCCTGTGTTGTTCGCAGGGCTTGAAAAACTTTGTGTGCCTGCTGCAGCGGCAGCAACATCAGCAGCAACAGCAGCAACAACAGGATCAGCAGCAGCAGCAGCAGCAGCAACAGCAGCAGCAGAAGTAGAAGCAACGAAGGCAGCAGATCCTGAGGTTCTGCAGTTGGCTTCTCAATGGGAGGCAGACCCGCACGCTCCAACACTCGTCGGTAAGCAGCAACTGGCTAGCTAGCCAAGTAGCTAGCTATCCCAGCTAGCCAGACAGCTAGATAACCAAGTGGATAGCCAAGCAGCTAGCTAGCTAGCTAGCAGCTAGATAGTGCAGCCCTTGGCCTACTGCATATGGCCGAGGCTCCACCGCCGTTCCTTTCCTTCTGCAGCTGCTAAGTGTGAGAAGTTCTTGCTGTTGATGCTGCTTTGGCTGCTGTTGCTTCTGCTGCTTATGGTGCCGTTTTTGTTGCTGCTTGTGCTCTTGCTGCTGCTGCTGCTGCTGCAGAGTTGGCGTCTCGTCTGCACTGCTTGCTGTCGCTTGCTGCGGATCCTTCGCCTCTGTCTGAGCTCTCTGCGCGTCTCTCGGTGGTGGGTTGCTGCCTGGCTGAGCAGGAGGAGCAGCAGCATGAGCAGCAGCAGCAGCAGCAGCAGCGGCAGCAGCAGCGGTGGGAGCAGGAGAGAGGCCTATTAGGAGAAGAAGATCTAATAGAATTCTCCCCTGAACAGATTGCACTGTCGCTACACCAGAAACTGCTTCCCTGTAAACATTTAGTAGACAAACTTCCTGAAGTGCGTGTCGCCTTGAGTCAGGCCAAAGACAGATTCGCTGATGTAAGAACAAACCCTAAACCCTAAACCCTAAACCGTAGGCTCTCAGTTGCAATGAGGGGTTCATTCAGAGGACCTCTTTCTAAGGCATTTGTTTATTTTTTATTTGAGGTGTAACTGCAGCTTAGCTGCAGACTGCGCGCAATCAACACAAGACGACTCAAGCGAATTATTAAAGGCGGTAGAGACAGTTAGAGAGGGTTTAGGGTTTAGGGTTTAGGGTTTAGGGTTTAGTTTGGGTACAGGGGTTTGCCTTCTTTCTGTTTGCTGCAGGTGGCGTG